AAACGGTTCAGCACGAGATTTCCCACAGCATTTTTTATCTTAAAGCACATTTTATGTGCAAGGACAGAGGAGCATTTGCCCATCTCCATCCTGTGATGTGACATAACAGATCCCCGAAGCCACCAGACATCCCATAGCAGTATTAGGAGGATTTATGGTGACTAGACTGGAATGAGGGACCAGCACACTCATGTGGGGCAGGAGCGGGTGCCCCAGGTGGGTGCCGGTGTGCGCAGCCCCAGGCACCACCACCTGTGCGTGCCGTGCTCTGTGCCAGTGACTGTAGGGACAAGACAGTCAGGACGCGGGGCAGGTCTGAGTCATGGTCCCCTCTGTCCTCAATGATACTTTTGGGTGTGTAGAGCTTCCCCACCACATCCTACAGCAGCAGCCTGGGTTTGGGTCATTTTGATGCTCAAGACCAGCCCATTAAATCCTGAATGGGTGATAAAGTGATAATAGCCCCGCATGCCAAAACCTGGGCTCCTATCATGACATAGGAGAAGCACAATAGAATGAAAAATTTTAAACTACAAGGGAGGGAAACATGCAGGAGCAATGCTGAGGTCAGCCAGTGTCACCTGCCACCTCCGCAGGTTACCACTGTGTCCTGCAAGGAGCCTCCTCCAGCTCGTGGTTTCAGTGTAGTGTCAGGGGACAGAGACACAATTACCAACCCCATGTCTGGGGCACCATCGGCACCCTGCAGTTCCTGACACCCTTGTGTATTGAGGCAGATGGCAAGAATGCTAGGCTAGTATATAAGTCCTATAAGGGAATTAATTCCCCAGCAGACATTAAAAATTACTGATTTTAACAGGAGAACTCACTGACCTGAGATAATGCTTGGAGACCAGACCATAAACTCTGACCAGAAGAAGAATAAGGGGGAGAGAGAAACCCAGGGAGCCGCTGCTCCTTCTTGCCCCCTCTCCTCCCCATGCAGCACAGTTGCACAGCACCAAACCTCCTTGCAGAGCTGCCACGCCAGAGGCAGACCCTGCATGGAGGACACATCTCCATGACAGTGCAGTAGCTCCTTGTTTCCACTGGCACGTTCACCACTCATCAAAACATGGTGCATCGAGCAAGAGGCTTGCACAACAATCCACTTCAAATTCATTCTCCTCCTCTGGTTAGGATTAATTTTCAGCAGCTCTAGCTGAAAATACCAGTCAGCACCTGCCTGCAG